GCACGTATCTACGTATTTTTATACATTCGCATATATTTACAGATAATTGAGTCGTACTTCTGCACATTGCACGGGTAATTGCCCTGGCATCTAGTTATGCACGTTTTAGAGTGTACTGAATGTATTGCATTTGTGAATTGCAGTTAATGAAAATTTGCTTTATTTATTGAGAGTTGTTCTTTACTGCAAGTTCCAAACTGCCAAGCTTTTTCACCCTCCATGCAAGTATCGACGATCGTTCGTCTAGCGGGATATTTCTGCCTCAGGGAACGCATAACATGTCTCCATGAGTGCGAGAAAGCGCTGATAATGATTTAGCGGATTTTGAAAGCCCTCCTTCGCCGTAGGAAGCGTGTGAACCTTCGACGTACAATCAGCCTTGCGCTGTTTCATGCTATTTTGCTAATTAATCAAAAACGCCACCAGCGTCAACCCGAAAGCGAATCGCTCCCTTTGAAGGCCCCGACGAACAATCGCAGTTTACATTGAACGAACAGAACGCTAAAGATCGATCCACTGTAGCCGTCTTCGGCCATTTGCATATTACGCTCTACAACATCCGTTGCATCGTCAAACGTCGGCCACACACGTTGTCCGTTTCGCCGTCCTCACCATTTTTGGGCTAAAATGGGCATCTGCTCGTTTCGCCGTCGGAACACATCAGTGCTTGCCCAAAAAACAACTTCGAACTGCTTACGGATTGATTTGCCCTTTCTGCCTAGCAGCTTCTGCATTTAGGGCCAGAATCTGTGGGTGTTCTTTTGCTCAGACCTACTACAAACATATATTCTGCTATAAATGGCTTTCATGCATGAAGGGTGAGCGGGAATACACCGATGAATGTGGTGCAGGTGCTAGATATGGGTGGCAGCGACAAGAGCGGCCAGTTGTTCGTCAGCGATGGAACATCGAAGCGAATACGCTAAACATTCGCCACTTCTCCCCACTACCTTCGCTCGCGTAACCTTCACAAGACACGCTCTTGCATTCAACTCTGAGACTATACCTCCTCAAATACATAGAGATACTAACCTTTGCTATAATCAAAAACATATTTACAAACATAAGTCATTTTTTCTAACAACTGTCTTGTATGTCTTCCTTGCGATGTGTTCGTTCTATTTAGCCAGCTTCTCCCACTACGCAAATACGCGGGATGAGGTCAACGGCAAGGAGACAAGACGGAAATGCCTTTAGTCTCTTGCCATTCTCAGCCACTTTTTTTGCAAAACATAAGACTATCAAATTCCAATTTCCACTCCACTACATCATATTGAATCTGCTTGTAAGCAAGAAGGACCATGCTTATTCTTTAAAAATTTGCTTACAAGTATTCAAAATGCTGTGCGAAATTTTTTTTCTATAATCGTATAATCCTTCACTCAATCTACATTACTGTCTAACCCATAATTAGCATACGCTTTGCACGTTCTCACTGTTCATTGCCGTTGCAATTGTACGCCTACATATAGCTGCCGCATTTATTATCACCTCTCATTTTCTTGCGCTTCCCTGCTCTTACGTTGCTACCCGAGTAGATAAGGGAACTCTTCGATTAGGGTCGTTTTTGTTTTCTTAGCGACATTCTTTGATACTCTCATTTACTACACAATTCAAGTGTTTTTTCCGCTGTTGTTCGCTCAGCACGATGCACCAGTTGTTGTTACTTGTTTTCTGCTAGCTGTTTCTTGATTGCTACTTCCATGTAAGGCACATGTACAATAGGACGGCTTCCAAGGAAGAGAAGAGGTCAGCCATGATGTGTAGGCGACCTCGCCCTTCAGTTTCGCATTAGTGAAAACCGCGGCCCGTCCCCAGCCCAGCCAGCACACGCTCTTTGCGGGCTCTTTCATCAAAACGGATTTCTCACCATCGTTTTGTTGAATTCGTCATCCGTTCACGTTGTGTACGGTTGGCACAGCATCTGACACCCCGCTCAAACGTCCTATACCAAATTCGGATGGTTCCGTCTCATTGTAAATCAGTGTTACTGTGCATCACTGCTGATTTTCGCGTTAGTTTGTACCCTTGAATCGATTACTTCTTTTTCGGTGGCAGTTTCCGCAAATGCGGTTAGATTGAGCCAGTGTGATGAGTGAGCACGAACTTGCGCACCTCTCAACTCCTTCTTGAACTGCGCTTCACCTTCATTTAAACTGCACTGCATCACTGTTCCTTTGCAAAATTGTTTATCTTGAGTTAATTATCTCTTGTTTATAAATTTGTGCAACTGAGTTGTCTTGCACAAGAAACTTTTTGTATTGGTAGCTGTCCCACTACCAGACCACCCATTTAGTTGATTTCCTTGTTGCTCTACTTTTGATCACTTGAGTCCTCTCAGTCCAATAATGCTGTAAAAGACTGCTAATAACAAGACATTTTTCTGTACAAATTTTGAGTTACCTAGGTTTCTACCATATCTCTTTCTTATCTTATTGAAGTGCTACAAGTAGGAGGTTGTTTGCAAGTCGGTTCTTTACGTATTTGTATTAGAGCCTATACTATTCATCCCTCGTTAATTTTTGTTCTTATTTTTCCCATCGTTTTGTCTAATAGTAAATCTCATACGCCACGTGTTTTTATTGCCGATTATGCCTAGGATGACGGCGAAGAGCGTCACTTTGAATGGGGAGAGGGAGAGACCATTTCGTTTCGATCCTGATGATCCTGAATATATCAAAGACTTGCAGAGACCAGCCGTTATTAAGGTATGTTGCTCATAGTTAAATTTTTATTATTCCACACCAAATAAATTGCCGCCATTAAATACTATTTTATGAGGATAATCCGAATGTAAATAATCACTTTGCACTCCCTCAAATAATCTATTTACGTTACATCTGGAAATTCAACGGCTTTGGAGCTTTTTTCCCTTTTATCGAATGAGCATTTTCCACGTTAATTGTTTCGCCTGGGAAACCGTTTCCTTTTCTTAATTGGCCATGTGAAAAATACGTTTTTGTGTTTGTGTATGTGCGTGCGGTGTATGCGTTTTTTAACTCCTAACTCTCCCTGTCGTAATTGGAGTGAAAAGTTTTAGGAAGATCTCACCGAAATGGAAAGAAGGAAACGAGTACAGCAGCTTCTTGAGTCGAAGAGCTTCTGTAGAGAGCTGGAAGAGGTACTTGCACCCTTTAATTACATCCCTCCTAGGGTGGACATGATCAACAACTCTAACCAGGTGATTCGACAAGAATCCGATAGCTGTCGCAGCGATCCCGAACATTTAAAGACCATTCAACGGCTTTCCGAACTAACGCTTCCCAATGGAGCCATGACATTTGCTAATTTGCACTCTGTTGGTGAGTAATGATGTCAATTATACGCTAATCCAAAAGCATATCTCTATGTCATTGCTGTATGGGGCCTTCAAACCTGATGCTCAGCTACCAGCTGGCCTCCACATCGCATACATTCCCGTTGTTTGATGTGTAAATACAATAATAGATGCGAACAGAAATCATTTTCATCCATTGAATAACCGTTATTTTTCGTTTTCTTTCACTTTGCTTTTTCTAATGCTCGGCGTTCGATGACGCAAAGCGAGATGCTCTACTTCAAAACTACTCAGTGTGGGCACATTCTTCAACTGCTGTCGAGTAGTCGATGTATTGGGAAACTCTCGAGGATGCCTGCACTCAAGCGTCATGTAA